CATTCACCAAAATTTGTAGTTAACAGCGTCCATCGGTATTTCCAAATTGATGTATTAACAGAGGCGGCGGCACACAATTTTGCAGGGGGGAGGGGACAAAATCTGCTCACCAGCCTTGCGCCGAAGGCGCGACCTTACTAGAGGGCATGCTTCCCCTTAACAATTTTTAAATGTAGACTCCGTAAAACGCTATTTCCTGCATTTTGAGGGACAAATTTTGCTGACACAAAGGGTTTTAGCTTGATTTTGTCGAGGATGAGAATAACTTAAAGATGCTTTTTGTTAAATGTCGTTTAATATAACACGGGGCTTTTACTCAGTTTGCATCGCTATGGGTCCAATGAGAATTTCCGTCAATCACTTCAGGATTATTTAAAGAAATCTTGAGCAATGTCAAGTTCTATGCACAAGGGATGTAACATTGTTTTCGCTACTGCTTAGTACTTTAAATTACTAGTAATAAATTCTGAGACGAAATTGGATAGTTCTAAATTATAGGTCTCAAAATACTGTAATGATCGCCGTATGTCAATCGCAATGCATGATTAATTGACTAGCCCATGATATTATGCTATAATAGTCATTATTCTAGCAATGTGGTGAAGTTTTTTTGTTTTTTAGTCTACAAACTGCTACTTTTATTCTTGGTCATTCATATTCAATTAGCATTAATTATTGAAATATCATTTCAAATATGTAATCGGCCTGCCTACGTACAACATGACTTCGGTGAAATATTTTACATCTAAATTTCGGAATAGAAAGTCTTAACTACTATATCATAGTCACGTGACCACCAATGCGCTGACGTGAAAAGTAATAGAACATGAGAGGACATATCATTATACATATATCACTGGCATTTCTATGCAATTGTTATTCAGCATGTAGTTTATGTCAGTTAGTCATTGCTTGGTGTTGAGATGAGTCCAACATTTTTCAGGACAGTTCCATTCGAAAACGCAGTATGTTTCTTCCTATTTTGTCTCGCTGTAAATATTATTAGCTATAATCATGAATGTATGTCGACAATCAAACAGCTGGGAGTCCACACGCGTGCCAAAACTGTTAACGAAAAACAAACTAAAACTGAATTGTCGACGAGGACTCTACTTATACTTGGTGGCTGTAGTGGACTATAATGAGTGGTTCAGAATTCAGGGCAACAAACTTTTTTAGTTTATTATACAAATCCTTTTTATCCGAATTGCCAAAGACATCATTATGTATAGCTATGTGTAGTTTGTTATAATTGAAATAATCGGAATATTTCATCTAGACATAATTCAGTTGATAAGTTTATTTCATAATCATATTACGCATAGTGTACATACTTTAAGCTAACTCTGCATGGACTTACTGACATGACTTTATACTGACGTCTTCACTCATCGTTCGCCGTCATGGTTCAAGTGTGAGGACATCTTTCCATATGATTTCATGCCCTGGGAGACTAACTGTCAACGAACGAATATTTATTGTCTTTATTGTGTTTTGATTTTATTATTTTTTGCAGTTTTTTACGCCTCGAAACGAAGACGGAGTGGTCCAATGATCTAATATTACATTCTACGTTTGATTCCCAAGATATTAATGATGAATTATTGAGAACTCCGACTATTGTGCTGTTGTAATAGGAACCTGCGACTTCACGACTCAAACCTCGAAGTGCCTGTTTTCTGTGTCTATTATATACGTGGGGTAATTTATTTATTCAATATATTGTTTTCTAGAAAACATGAATAACGCACAATTGACGCCAAAATGTGTATGTGTATATGAGAGCGTATATCTTGCGATTTACTTCTCGTATCATCATGAGAATAGCGAGCTCTATTTCAATATACGAAGTTTGTTGTCTCTGTGAGCCTGGTCCATTTAACTGTGGAATCGAAATGAGAAGACTCCGATCAACATGATGAATTTTAATCGCTCTGACTTCGGATGTCTTGGGATCAGCGCAATATTATCGACTGTAATATTACTCTGCTGTCTACCGTGTAGTGCGGGCAACCATTTACCAGACATGACGTCGTTGGCTTATTCCAAACCAGGGGATATTGTTTTAGCCGGGCTGTTTTCCATTCATGAGTTCGGCGGTGATCGGCAGTGCACGGATCTCCGAGAGTTGGAAGTTCTGCAAAAGATTGAGTCCATGGTGTATGCCATCGAACAGGTCAACCAGCGAGATGACATACTTCCTAATATTACCTGGGATACGAAATATACGACGACTGTGGATTTGAAGACACGGCACTCTCTATCGCACTTTCGTTAGGCGAGCGAACATGCGCCGAAAACTACCACAGAACAAATATCCAAGGTGTTGTCGGAACGGAGTGGAGCTTCACGACCATTCCGACAAACAAACTCTTGAATCTATTCCATGTGCCTCAGATTAGTTACTACGCGACCAGTGACGAACTAAGCGACGTCAACCGTTTCCCGTTTTTTCTCCGAACAGTACCCCCCGACCGCATGCAAGTGCAAGCCATTGTCGAATTACTTTTGAAATTTAAGTGGAATTACATCTCTATCGTGAACTCGGACGAAAGCTACGCCAAGAACGGCGTGAAGTATTTAAAAGCAGAGATCGCCAAACACGATGATATCTGTATCGCCACGTCCCTGGAAGTGTCGCGATTCAACAGCGAGGAAGAAATCGACGGTATAGTGAACACTTTGCGGGAACACGGTAACGCCAAAGTTGTGGTTGTTTTCTCGGTTCCCTTAGAAGCAAACATGTTGATGTCAGCAGTGCGACGTGCGAATGCATCCGATGAGTTTGTGTGGATAGCCAGTGATGCATGGGGCCCTAATTTACATCTGTACGGCAATCTACCTGCAGCGGTAGGAGGGTTATTTATTAAAATCTACAGTCAAGAAGTTAGAGATTTTGAAAACTATTTCAAATCATTAAATACTAATAACAGACAAAATAATCCCTGGTTTGGAAAATTTTGGGACAGATACCTGAAGTGCACCTTAACAGACACGTGTTTAGAGAATCCTTACATTCCTGGCTTCAGTAAAGAAAGTTTGGTGTCGTTGATTATAGACGCTGTTTACACGTTTGCTCATGGTCTTGAAGCTGCCAGGTACAATCTCTGTGGAAAACAATTGACCTGTATTGAAATGTACAATTTAACTGGTGAAGACACAATTGGATACTTAAGGAATGTCAGTTTCGAAGGAACAACCGGGCAAGTGAGCTTTGATGAAAACGGTGACATTTTAGGGAAATACATCATCAAAACTCTTCAACATATTAACGGGACATACCAATTTGTTACAGTGGGCATCTGGGACTCGTTACGGATGGCTGAGAAGTTAGAGTTGAATACCAGCGGTATACAGTGGAACCATACAAACGAAGGGGCACAACCTACCCAAGTGCCGAGTTCTGTTTGTAGCGAGCCATGTCCACCAGGACATTTTATAATTCAAGGCAGTCCTCGTTGTTGTTGGAGCTGTTTTCAGTGCGACGAAGACGAAATCGCTATTAATGGGTCTCTCTGTTTGAAATGTCCCGAGTTATACTGGCCAAACGAAGATTTCACGAGTTGTGAACTATTGCCGTACGTGTATTTGAAATGGTACGATGCTTGGGGAATAGCTTTGGCAACCTTAGCAAGTATTGGGACAGTGTCTACTATCGTCATTCTTATTTTGTATATAAAATACCGTAACCGGTCACTCATCAAGGCATCGGGACGGGAACTGAGCTTCATGATCATATTCGGTGCGTTGTTGTCCTATCTCATCATTTTCCTGTACATCGGTAAACCCAGTCCCGCCACGTGCGTCATGTACCGACTGGGATTCACGTTCAGTTGTGTCCTACTGTACGCGCCACTGATGACAAAAGTCAATCGAATTTATCGAATATTCACCGCTGGGAAGAAATCTACACGGCGGCCACCGTTAATAAGTCCAACGTCGCAAGTGGTCATAGCATGTATTCTTATCCTATTTCAGGTAAGTACGGTTTCCTGAAGATGACAGTTTTCTCAGCTATCGAAGATTCGCTTAATATAAACAATTATTTCTTAAATATTTTTTTTCGATTTCACATAATACACTAGACTATGATTTTACAAAAAATAAAAACGTGTTTGCCACACACATCAACGATGAAATACTGAATGAAACCATAGACCCTCTAACAGTTAGAGGGTCTATGATGAAACTGATAATGAATTGATAGTACGTCCATACTGCTTTTTCTGTGAATCGCGCCATCTAGCGACAATTATTTGTGTGACGTAAGTAAATACCGTTCATATCGTCGAAATTGTTTTGATCTCTAGTCGCCTGTCAATAAAAATAAATTTGTAAAGTTCTTGATGATACACGATTACACAGCCGAAAAATAGTTGTCGGTTTGAACACGGTGCTTTCACCCGTTTCATTTTGATCTCACATATTAGCACTTTGTCGGTAAACGGAAAAGAGTATTCGGTAGTATATTCGCATTAGTGCGGTTCATTATTTCACCAAACGCATACTGTTTTGTCCACGTCCATTTTTTCACCAAACGCATACTGTTTTGTTCACGTCCATTTTTTACAAATAATTAGTGACTTGGCTTAGAAATGGTGATGTACGCGCGAAATCTCCCGCAATTGGAATGATTTTGCGTGTACACGCGAATTCATGACGTCACCAGTTTCTACAAACTCGGATCACATTCCACTTTAATTATACGAAAAACAAAAACAAAAATGCATTCTGTCAAACACACATTGTGTTATGAATTATCGTAAATCATCCCGATATAACAACATCTGGAAAATGTCGCTGACAGGCAGACGAGATAGAAGAAGAAAACTCAGGATTCATCATGTCTAAATCATGACATGTTGCTCACTACCGAGAATAACGCAGGTGTTGTAAAGCACAGTCTATAACGTGACAAAAGCTGCACTAAGAATAGATTTTAATCTGGCGCTAAATTTATTTACTACTTTGAAGTATGTTTAATAAATGTGGTTGAAGACTATATTATAGTTCTTTAACAATTGTTGAATCATTTATTTCATAATCAACCACAAAAGGAATGATGTTAGTTGAAATTAAAGCACCCGTTTGCCATGTTTATTGAAAAAGTACAAGTATTGTTTTCCGCATCTTGTGAACATCATCATATCCCCACCAACCCGGTTAATTACTATACCTGATTTTGCTTTAAAACGGGTTTTCGGCAAACTGAACATTATTTGTTTCAATATTTCAGGAAATCATGAGCTTCAACTTGAAAAAAATAGATAGGACATATTTCATACATTGATTTGGAGACCCCTGAAATTCTATTTTAACCGAATGGTTGCAAAAAATAACAAATCTTTCCGAAACTTCGGAGCAGAATTTTACAGTTCAAGGGACATTCTGCTACTGAAAATTAACAGCTTCTTTCTCCAAGAACCAAAAAATAATGTTCCTCTTGCTCGTATCTTGTTGTCCAAAACATGTTTTACAACAACTGCTCTTGTTCTTGCAGGTTGTTATCAGTCTGGTCTTTGTCATCCTGGTTCCCCCAGACGCCGTTTACACTCCATCCGAAACCGACAAGAGGAAAGTAGAGTTGCTATGCAACATTCAGACGTCAGAAATCATAGCCTCGTTCAGTTACAATATAATTCTAATCATTCTTTGTTGTTTTTATGCCTTCAAGACGCGACATTTGCCGGACAACTACAACGAGTCGAGATTCATTGCGTTTAGTATTTATACCACTCTTGTTGTCAGTTTGGCATTCATACCAACATATTTTGCTATAAATAGCGCCAGTTTACGCGTGGTGATTCTGTCGGTCGCCACTGTATTAAATGCCACGATCACGTTGGTTTTTATGTACGTACCAAAAATATATGCGGTACATTTTGTTGGACAGGCTAACGTGAAAGCTTACGGTAGTAGCGGTTCGGAAGGCGGCGTTGCCGGCGCCCGGGTCAGAGTACCGGTGCCACGGCCGCATAGAGTGTCGCCCGCTGACGTCCCAGGCGCCGAGAACTATGTCAGTAATATGTAGTAGTGATGACGTATTCTACCAGCCTGACCTTCTGAAACGAGACGTGACCTGCCAGTGCGGGCGGGTGTAACCTGCTGACTCCGCCTCCTTCTGTGAAGTTACTTATATGTCAACTGGGACGGTAAAGATGATTCTACATCATTGTTACATCATATCGTGCTGTTATGACAAGAAAGATAACGATTGTCGAGCAGTATTATTAACTTTCAGCTAGCATTTATGGATTGACTACACCTAACTTGAACATTCTTCCCACGTCGCGCCAACTTGCGCTCATAACAGAATGTAAAATCCATTGTACCAAAAACACGCCAAATTCACATAATTAATTGTTTTAACCTCAATCAGACGTTGTTTTAAATTGCTGTCATATCCGCCATAGCATTGTGAACATACTTCCCAAGCCATCATTAGTTTTGGATAAATGCCATTCAAGGGAGTCAATTGCAAAAAGCAGGGTTTGAATCATTTCCAACTCATTACACAAACTAGTCACAATCCAATGCATTTGTACCCATCAAAGCGTAATAAAATAGTACGTCGATGACTTATCATAAGGTATCACATTTAACTAAATATATGGGAAAAGTTCCCAAATGAATGTTAAATCCCCGCGTATACTTGCATACAGTCTCTGTTTTTTTTCAATAAAATAATTTTAAATAAAATATTATATGAGTGTATACATGACGAACAGGTTTGTTCGCAATAACCTCGCTTATTCTGTTAAAAAACCTCAAAACACCAACAAGCTCCTGAAATTTCCTGAAATTGGTGACTGACTAATTGCAAGTCCGAGATAAAAATGCGGGACTCGGACTAGATTTTTAATAAATTTTCAATTCAAAATGGCCGCCAGACTACGAGTAGGATTCAACTCTATGGAAAAATCACAGAGTCATTGTTTCGTAGATATCCCTCATTTGCTCCTTGCTTTGCTCTCAGCAAAATATAACAGAGTTTATTTTGTATCCTCATAAACTTAATTCAATTGTCAATTGACCCTTTACTTCAGCTTCCTGGATAGGTGACCTGTTAGGCATACAATCCCGTCGGACAAGGTATCATTACTGTTCCTTGCTGCAGTTTATGCAGCTCTTTTGGTCGTGGTATACGTTGCGGGCGACCATACGCAACGTAATATCAAAATAGCTTAAGCGGCCAATAAGAGCTGCTAAACTGCAGCAATACTGTTCCTCGTATTACAGAACTTCATTGTAATGTGATATCGTGTGTCAAGTCGAGACGCCGCGTTTCATGGAAGGTCAGGTGGCTATATGTGGCACCAGATTCACAGAAAATCCCAGTCTGAATTAAATAATTTCTGCAGCATTTTCTGTAGAAGAGTTTTTCTAGGACTGAGTCAGTAGTTTATTCAATTAGTGTGACTACAGTATACTCAGCTAAGAACGGGTTCTAGTGTATCCACGAGTACATTAAGCATTACCAATGAGGGCAGCATATATTAGTGAAAAATTTTACTCGATCTTAAAATTAATTTATAAAAATGCCTTGGGTTGTGTTAAAAGTCAGGCATGGTGGAAAATGATTACCTTCTTTCATTACAAAACTTTATAATAGGGGTGGAAAGTTCAATATCTAGAGAATGACTCGGAAAAGTGATATAAAAATGTAAAATACGTTCCTCTACATTTGTTGAGTGTTTTTCTTCTGGACCATTAAGTTGTTTGCATAGACTTTCCTTTTTAAGAACACACAGGAAGCTGAAAAGTGGCTGCATAGTTCAACCTTATTTGGAGATAATTAAAAAACGACGATAAACGCATTGCTTTAAAGGGCGGTGGTCGTCGTGCCGCGTCCTGTTCGATATGAGACTCATAGCGACGTATACAACGCGTGTAAAATACATTGTTTATTTACATGAAATTCGAACACGCGCTATGCGACGACCACCGCGCTAAAACAAAATTCAGAATAAGTGCTCACATTTTAAACATTGGAAAGAGTCACGTCGCTATTCAAACATCGACATCTCCGATAGAAAATGTCCAGTTTGCCATTCAAATTAAATAGAAGGTGTGAAAGATCTACTTTTAAACTGTAAATCATATGACAATAAAAGCGAAACATTCTCAATACAAAAACTGAAACCAACTTGCTTGTATCACCTCCAAAGACGACTGTATGGCCAAAGACAAGAGCCAGAACACTATGATAGAATTAGCAAAGATTATTTACAGATGTTTTAAAAAGTGAGAAGAAAGCATTAAACAAAAATTAGCAGCTGCCTGGAAATACCAAATATCATCAATATTTTCATAATGTAATGTTTGTTCTTTGTATATACATGTAGTTCAATTGTTGAATCTGTGTAACTTTGTTGTATTTTCATATCAATATCCCAGAGAGGATGCGATTTCAATAAAGTCGCAGACGATATTTGTGATACATGTATTTGGAAAAAAAAAACTTATAGAATATCTGTGACAGAAAACTAAGTTTTGTTTTGACGTTTTTCATTATGCGACTCCGCCACCAGAGTACCACGTGACTTAGAGCAATAACGAATCCACTTTGGTAGACCACGGAGAGCGTACGTTTACTTTTCTGCAAGGTATGTCTAATTGTATTGAATACTTCAAGTTGTTGGTCCAATGCCAATGTCACAATGAACCACCCATGCCGTCACTGAGAGAATGTGTTACCTTATATCTCATCCGATTATATTTTCAATGAAATCAATTTATTCCACATAGAGACTGATTTGGGGGGCGTTGTCAGGAATGCACACAATCAATTTTCCAACTGGAAGTAAAAATAACGTGAATCCGACTCGCAATTTCACATGAAAACAATATTCTACGAGTTTGTGAGAAAATAACTTCGCTCTAGAACTTGAGTCATTAGGAGCGGAGTATTGTTTCTGGTGGGAGTGGCTGTTAAAGAAAACAGGTCAATGTCGTCGTACTTTTCGTTCGTCGGGTGAAGATGTGGCAGCAACGATTTAAGTTCATTTTTCCTTTCCGTTCAAAGCATTTGTTAGAGCTAGAGCTAGAGCTCGGCCAAAATATACTGTAAAATTGCCAGACCCTAATAATGTTTTTGTCTTAATCGAATCATGATTCGGCGCCAGTTCTTGGTTGAAGAACTACCAGTGTTGGCGACGACACACCATTAAACTCAAAGGCGTTTTTCCAAAAAGAAAAAAAAAACTCATTAAACGCACAACAATGTACGACATTCTAGAAATGTTACATGACTGGAAACTTAGCCCTCGGTGACCATGGATATAATGTTTCTGTGCATGGCTCCCGTATTTCTTCAATAAATTGTGCCGAGTGAGGGCGTGGCAGTGGCACTCATGTTCACCGTGCCCTACTTTACTGGGTGAGCAGGTTAAAATATCCATGAAAGAGACACTTGTTTGATAAATCTACACTCCCGGCAGAATACACAAGATTGTCGCTAAAGCGAAGTAGATAATAACAAGTAACTAAGAAACGGACAAGCTTGAAGTATTTTGAGTGTTGTGAATTTCAAAGCACTTGGCAGCCCACTCCAACACATTTACACCCAAACAGTGGAGAAGTGGCAAACGAGACCTCATTAAGGCATGACTTTTTGGATCTTTCATAAATCTTTCTCTCTGCATAATTCATTGAACCTAACATCGGAGCGATATCAGCAACCGATGTTCAAAATTTAATGTGGGTGCAAATTGCAGATGGTGGCCATAGAGGGCGTACCACCCGAACTGGCGAATCGTCATGATCTTAGTATATGTATTTTATTACTAGTACTCAAGTGTAAAATGGATGGTAGATTTTTCATCCATTAAATCATAATTGAGCATTTCGTCACCAAACTAACAGATTAAAATACGTCTAGGATGCTTAAATATTTAGCGGGTTAATTTATTTACGCCTTCAAGTGATAGAGCGGGTAAAAAAAAATATATTATGTCTCAAAATATATTACTGTATGAAGTTAATTGTTAATATCCACTATCAGGATTGCTTTGAATGGCAATTGATTGACGGACTAGTGTTGGCTTTGATCAGAAAGACGTGAAATTCGCCTCACATTGGTTAACATGTCCGTAGTTGGCACAGGATACAGGATAAATTTTCGAAGATTTATATTTTAGGATAAATCGACAGCGACTAATTTGATATATTTTAACATTTTCGCCCCATTCAGTATTTTCTAGAACCACAGTCCCTCTATCACAGAATTGATATAAAAATGAACACATATTATATTTTTGTATGACCGATCTTTGTTTTACGAGCTCGTCGTAGTCAGGCGTACGGAATCGATTCACTGCCAACTTGAAGGTGAATTACGGTATCGCTAGTTTGCGAAAAGTGACACATGACAGAAAAAGCCCCGCTATACAGAGCTGTATACACGTGTAGTTAACCATCGGCTAAAGTGGTTGAAGTATATGGCTACATCACATGTTGTTCTCTCAATGCCCTTATGAAAATTAGAATAGAATTGAATATATCACAACTGTATGAACAAATTTAATTGTGGTTTACCTAAATATTGAATATATAATTAATAATGGTAGTATTATTGGATAACTCTGAAAACGTGAAGCATAGAACTAAAGTTGGATCAATCGTGATAGCAGCTGTTACCGGTATCCGATTTCAAAATAGTAACAGATTGTTTTACTTTTGAGTAAAATTCTAATAGAACACCTGTTGTCCTATATAATAACAGATAATGAAAATAAACACAGGGTTCGCGGGGTAAACAAATACACGTAAAATACATTGAAATACATGAATCACTTGAAACATTACACCCGCTACGGCAGAGCGTTCTGTTTCGCTTGTTTTTAAGAGTGCTTACGGAAAAAGTCACAGGAATAACACATTGTAGACCTCGTAGGGATGGGTGGCTTAACGTCATTTACCAACTTTTTGTAGAATTGCCCAATTCACTGTAATCAAGTATCCACAAAATAAAGTGTTTTTTTAACATGGTTTGGTACAACAATAACGGTGATTGAACAGAATTGTCAACAACCAATGCACAGAACATATTCACTCAAATTGAGGTTTATTCCTGAAACGATTTTCTAGCACTGTAAAAACTACAAATAGACTACACAGATTATTGACTCCGCAATTCATCATGCCACACAATAATCTGAAATCTGTGCATTTTTGAGAATGCTTCATTCAACCCCTCGAGACAGCCGATCCCAGAATGCAATTTTCATACAGAACACAGTGATTAACTTGTGGACTATACTGTAACGTACGATGGAATTTATGTTGATTTATCAAAAGCATTTGGCATATTTTGGGGGGATTCACTGAACTTTCAGTTTAGCAGAGATGTGTGGGTCAAAGGAATCTTCACACCTCATTGTACGTGTCGTGATTTGGTATAAATAAACTAAATAACTATGTGCTCGCCAAAAAAACCTTGAACCATGGTGTAATTTGGGGACTAAGATTTAGGAAGATGATAGTTGAAGATGCTATATTAACAAGCAGCCTCTCCACTGAGATAGCTCCGCTGTTATCATTAGAAAATGAACAATATGTAAACTTATGTGTAGAATTCAAAAATATCACTTTTCACCAAAAATAATCATTAAAATTAGATAATTGAAGATATCACCACGAAATTAACAATCTGAAAGAGGTCCACATATAGTACCTATATATGTAATATAAAAGCAATTGGACTTGTGGTTTTTAACAAGTCGAAAATATCACTTTTTACCAACAATTGCAAAAATATTCATCAAAATTAGAGAATTGAAGATATCATCATGAAATGAACAAATCTTAGAGAGGACCACATGTAGTACCTATATATGTAATATCAAAGCAATTGCACTTGCGGTTTTTAACAAGAAGTCGAAAATATCACTTTTTACCAAAAATTGCAAAAATATTCATCAAAATTAGAGAATTGAAGATATCATCCTGATATGAACAAATCTGAGAAAGGTCCACATGTAGTACCTATATATGTAATATCAGAGGAATTGGATTTGCGGTTTTTAACAAGAAGTCGAAAATATCACTTTTTACCAAAAATATTCATCAAAATTAGAGAATTGAAAATATCATGAAATGAACAAATCTAAGAGAGGTCTACCCAAGATACATATACACCAAGTATCAAAGCATTCAGGTTTATAGTTTTCAAGAAGAAGTCGAACAAGTAAAACATTGACATGGACGACGGACAATCACTCATATGATAAGCTCTAGTTTCCCAGTTAAAGGTGGAGGGTAGTCGCCTGCACACGAAGGAATCAAGTCCCAAGCGTCGATAATAATAAAAATGCAAAGGCTCAAGGGTAGACACTTGTTTTTAAGCAATAACATGCTATATGGCCATCTGACGAATCCCTCGCTTTAATATTAAATATACAATATTAATCCCATGGCAGCTGCTGCTGTATGTACATGATATTGGAACTATAAATGGGGACTAATATGTGTGAATGCAATTTAATGAAAACCACACAAACAAACTTTGTAGCAATATTTTATTTACAGAAAGCTTGTCAAGCCAATCGGTGCTCACAAAAAAAATAGTCACCATCTCTATTTTCAACACTTACATTATGGCTATTCACACTGTGGTGGGAAAGGACGATTAGTCCAGCCAAGATATATTTTAATATATTGCAAAGGAGCTTGACAACGTTCACTTTATGAGAAATGTGGATGTGAAAGACAAACTGCCCACCACAATATTATATACGCTTAGATACAACTGTGGTACTACACAGCAATAATAATATTTTATTGGTAGTAATTTTCATTAAAAGGAATTATTTGTGAACAATTAAATTACATTTAATTAATAGTACATTGTACAGTGGGAAAAAATTGAATCACAAATGTAATTTCAGAAGTGACCTAAAAAAAAGAATAGCACCACAATAAAATAATGAGGTGAGTGGGGGGGGGGGTACCTACGTGTACACGTAACAGATCAAATACTTCAGGAAATGAAGTACAGGTATATCTACAGTTTGAAACTACTTGACAAAGTGAATGTTAGGCATACAGTCACATATGGAACACAACATAAATACTGACAACGTTTTCTACAAGACTAATATCTCACATGTGACAAAAAATCGTGATGGAACTGTGAGCGTTATAAGCATGGCGCAACGTACTAAAATGCACTGGACAAAGAAAAATGTTATGGTGTATCAAAATTAACTATGAGAAGCTGTTCTCAAATCCTGAGTTTTGCATACTGCCCTCAGGTGGCAAAAGTAGGAGAAGAAGCTGAACTGACTGACCATCAGTTGAGACAAACGATGACGCCTACAGTACGATCATTTTAGAATGTCACCTGTGTTAGGACAAGGCACTGGTCATGAGGGACTATTACAAACTTCAGAACCCAAGTTCATCTAGTGGTTTTGAAATAAATACAGCATCATCAAAGAGACCTCAAAGGCCCAATGGAGCAAGTCAATATTATACAAAATAAACAATAAGTTCATGTTGATTATACTGTAAAAAACAATGCATTTTCGCTGCTATCAATTTTAATAGCATTCACAGAGCCAAATGAAAGCCACTGTGACTTCATGCCTTAGTAATAACCCCAGTGACAAAATTTCAGAATTCACTCGTGAATACATTGTATTTCTTTTTTTTTCATACATAGTCGCAATATGTGCTCACCTATACATAAGTGAGGGATCATGTTATGTGATACAACAAAGTATCCAAACTTTAATTAATACTAGTTTATAAGGCATCAAAATACTGAATATTAAAGTTACAAAATGAAACAGTTATAGGGAAAATTTAATTAACTTTAATTAATTCCACCACACAGCAGCTTTTCCCACAAGTGATACAAATAAATATCACAAGCCCACTCGCTAGGGGAATAGGACAAATGAGCACAGAGTTCTCTAGATGCAACAGTGGTAGTTTTTGCATGCTGGTGATATGTAATAAATGAACATAGAAACCAAATTATAATTTGAACTTTAGTTTAATATCAACCATTTGAACTCAAAGAACCTGACATTTATCTGCAAGTTCACCAGAAGTGTCATTAAGGGTTGTCTTTGTGCAGCATCCAAATAACTCTTAACTTTTCTATAAAGGTGAATATCTTGTATGCTCATTCTATTCCCCTCATTTCCCATATTGACCAAAGACTCCTGTAGCCATGACCTAGCAAAGAACTGACGTGTATACTTTGGGGTTCGAAAAGAAAAACAAGCACAGGATCAATGTAAAAACAAAAATAACATTACTCAAGTGCACATAACAATGTCAATATTAATGCCAAATGACTAGAATCTGAAGAGGTACTATATGCAAGTCATATCACTAATATCAATATCACAATAGTGTATTTTTGTAACTGAGTAGCCTGGTCATATGGAACCAGCATTTCTGTCTAGAATTGAAACAGCTTTAGCTCACAACCAAGCTTCCCCTCTTGCCAGAATAAATAAATCCCAAAAATAGAAAAAAAATGTTTTGTCCTAATTTTGACAATTAAAATAATTTACACTTTTTTCCATAATCGATATTAAAACCTGTAGGCACAAAAAAAAGCCACACGTTATTTTCACCTGGTTTATCTGGTATAATAGACTCTGTAATATAAAGTCTTTGATCTAAATAATGAATATGAATTATCAAATTTTAATAGATACACTCCTCTTCCAGGATATACATGACTACCAGCATAGACTTCTTCATGGCAGTCTCGTCTATATACAGGTATAATTTCATCTGTTGGGGGCCGATCGTCTTTCCTACCTCCTCGTTCTAAGTCCCCTCGTTCACCTATCATGAGAAGAGAGACGTGAGATGTCAGAAATTGTAGACAGTAGCGAACTGTATTCTGATTGGTTAATGGCATCCATACTCTGCGTCCCAATCTCTCAATTGTTTGTTCTCATTTGTGAAAGCCTAAATAAGCATTGAACCTTAGGTCTGCAACAGCAGGGTCACTGAAAACAAGCCATGCATGACACATGCCCCGTTAGATATTAAAATTAAGATATATAGTTTTGTTTATAGTAATATAGTTGGAACATAAACATGACAGAGATATGAATCCATAAGATGATGCTTGATTATGATTAACATTAAAATGATTGACATTCAGTCATCTTGTATCTTATCGTCAAACGAGTACTTGCTCATATTGACAGATATTGCTCTGGAAACAGCCTTAATTGAAACAAAATGGTCACCGGTTTTGCCATTTTGAATCAGATTGTCAAACCAATAAATCTGTATATCTATGATATGAAGTATAATTAATGAATATATAAAATTTGAAAATAATCAGTCAAAGCGTGTCAGAGATATGGCTCTAGAAGCCCATTCATTAAAACAAAAAGACAGCGAATCAACCATTTTGAATCTGATTCGAAAAACAAATAATGTCTAATGTATGTACCAAGTTTGAATGAAATCCATAATTTTTGATGATTTTTTAGCACAAAAATGGCCACCATTCAGCCATCTTGAATCAGATCATGAAACAAATTCACATTTTCGTCACGTAGTTAACAAAATAATTTACTTAGATAGCTGAGAATTGGAGACACACACAACATTTCATTTATAGGAGCAATTTGCTTATTTTTCAATGGAAATACAGCTTGTTGCTATGGTTACCTTCTTCATCATCTAAATCGTCCTCTTCATCACTGGATTCACTGACGTGTACGCTGATGGCATTACTGGGTGCAATTGACCACTCAAAATACAGTCCAAAACCAACATCATAATGATCTGTGGTGAATTCCCAAAACAAACATGTTCCGTCTTCATGAGTTGGCACTCTCACGGTAACAGTCTCACCTCTTCCAACTTTTATGACAGACTCGGGATCTTTCCTTAATTGGTCTTTGAATTCTTTTATTTGTGGACGGGTCCACATTGATGCATTCGCAATGGGCGGGTAAGATTCCTCTGAAACCAAGAAGAAAGAAACATCAACAATCTTTCTTTCAAATGTGAAATTCGCTGTCATTAGTCTTCAATACCATCACAACCACAATACATAAACAAGCAATAAGATAACAGTTTCCAAAAATGTTATCTTTCTTGTCAGGATAATTTTACTCTTGTATATTTATATATATTCACACTTAAAGCCCATTGAACA